CGCGCCGCGGCCTCCCCTCCCCGGGGCCCCTCTGCTTCCCCCCTCGCCCCCCTTCCCGCTCCGGTCCTCTTTGTCCCCGATGCTTCGGAGCGCTCCCCGCGCCCCTCCTTTCCGCCGCCGCCAGCCCAGTGCCCCGTGTGGCCCTCCCTCCAGCTTTCTGACCACCGCTTTCCTCTGACCCCAGCTCGCACCCCCTTTCCCTGCTCTCCTCCTCTTCCCTCGGTTTCCTGTCCTGGACCCTGTCTCTACCCCGTGGTGCCAGTGCCCCTGCCCCAGTCTCTCTAACCTACCCTGCTTTTCCCCCCCATGACCCTGCTCGAAGGCACCACACTCAGCTGCTACCCTGCTTGCCTGGCTCCCCGGAGCCCTGGCCAGGACCTCCAGTACATACATACACCTGTGGTGTTTTCCAGAAGGGTGTTGGGGCCTGACCTTTCACAGGTAGGCAGACTTAAAGCTTCCCGGGTTAAGCCTCGTGTCCATTCCCTTCGTGTTCTCTTTCTCCTGTTTGTATTCGAAAGGCATTTGAGTAACTGGATGTAGGCGGATTGTCCACAGTTCTTGGAGTGAAATGCCCCCATTTTCCTAAAAGGTTCTGGGTGGTTAACTTCAACACAGGGCGCTCAGCCACCCCTTCGTTATCTCTTTCTGCGTCCTTCAAGCTACATCGTTGTTTTCTCTCCTCTGCTTTATTGCTTTGAGTTCTTTTGAAAGTTTGGCCCCAAAGCCCGAAGGCGAAGGGAAGGGCCCTTACTTTATATGTTCACCTTAGGGAGAGGTTGGAAAATCTGCCCCATTCCCAAATCTAGTTATCTAGGAACTACTTAAGAGGAAGTGACAGATGTACAAACATTGTGTCTGACACTTTCTAACTGTCGGGTCCCCTATCACACTTTGCTAGTCCAGGGCCCGAACTTTTTCAAATAAGCATTCCTTGAGTTTCTTTCCATGTTTTCTTTTCTCCAGTGTAGGCATTTCGGTTGGGTGAAACCTGGGTATGGCTCTTTGCTGCCTTCATCTTCCTGGAATCAAGCTAAAAATAAACAAACTTCAGTAAGGTAGAAGTTTGTGTGTGTCATTCACTCTTCCCAGAAACGTGATTGTGCCTGCTTACTGCTGTCGAGAGTGGTGTGTATTCAGAAAAGGAACAGCTACCCACACGGTCCCTTGGTGACTCCAATTCCCCCTCCCTAAAAAAGCTTTGGTCTCCACTCCAGAGCCTCCATTTAATGTTGACAACCCAGCGGTGCTCCCTAATGGCTCAGCAGGTTGTACAAATTGGCAGTGAGCTGAGATATTATCAGGGCAACACCCCATTGAGTAAGTTCTTACAACACAGAAGTGGAGGCCCTTTCTCTGGGCCACTGGGCACCTTTCCACCAATCAGAGCTGGAGGTGGCTGTGACCACCTGTTGTCTTGCAAGAGAACATCCTTTAAGGTTTCAGTATGAGTATTTAACAATAGTGTACAGTGCAAGATCTGGCCACAGGAGAGGAGCAGCCTGCTGATCTGAGTTACCAAAAGATTTTTTTTCCCAGAGAGTTGTTAAAAGAAACTCCAAAGGCTGCGAAGAAGCAAGAGTTTTTCTTTGCACACTCCCAGCCCTCACCTTGTGTGCATTCTGCCTTGCATCTGGAGCAATCTGAGCTTGATTGCAGAGGAAAGTATAATCAAAGTTACAGAGAGACTCAACGTGAAGTTGTAATCAGACCTCAACGATCAGGAATACAAATATGCTTCCCAGTGGGAGCCCCCCTAGCTGTGAGAGCAAGAATTACTTGTGGCTGATGGGCTGCGCTGAGCTTTGTGCTGTGGAGCCTGGAAACTTCTCCCTGGCGCCTCTCCGGAGTTAGGAATACCCAGCCATATCCGCTACCCAGTTTTGCCCATTGTTTCGGAAAAGCCTTTAAGTTTCCCTACCTGTTAACAATGCAAATGCCTCTGAGAAGAGAACAATAGTCTCAAGTCAACATTTATAATAATTATTGTTGTTGTTATTTAAGACCTAGAGTAAGCAGAGTTTTAAGTGTACATTTTAGGAATGGGGCAAGAGAAGACAAGGTGAAGTGCAGAATTCCTTGAGAGTACATCAGGTGGATTTGAAATATATCTGGCCGTAGAAGACTGCTTGGGGGCAGCGGAGCCATTGTTTACAGAAAACTTGGTTGTGGTTGAACTGACAGCCACTGTTGTGAAACCTGAAATTCACCATTAAAATGGTCACTCAAGCAAGTTAGCAGTTTATTTGGTTATCAAACCTGCTTGTTGGCACATCTTATGCAATATATCTAAATTGAATAATGGTAGCAGATGGAGTGGGAACTTATGTGTCATGCATTATCATGTGTAATCAATAAACAATTTAATCTTGAAAAACAACAAATGGGGTAAAGTGTGTTGACTCTGAAGAGATGTCAAGTGGGACAATTGTTGGGCTACCAGGTCTCTTTTTTTTTTACTCCTAGTGACGGGGTAGAACCAGATCTGCAACGTAAGATCTTCTTGGCTGTAACCTGTAGGGATGCAGATCCTAGGCCTTTCTCTCAGAGAACTGCTGGGGTGGGGTTCCAACCACCCCAACCTCTCTCTTAGCTGATTAGTCTGAATGTGCAACCCTTTCTGCCAGGAGGGTTCCATGGCAGGGGAAAGTAGGCATGAGAAAAATTGTAGCTGGTAAAGGTCACCATCTGTGAAGGCTACTTTGCCCATAGTGAGTCTCCATTTATTGAGCTGTTTATTGTGTTCTTATTAGACCCTGTTTTAGGTACCTGTGAATACAAAAAGATGATCCTCACTTGGTCTGTATGGAGTCCTTAAAGAAGATCATCGGTGAATTGGACTCTTCGTGTACATAAACCTGTGCCCTGTCCTCTCCAGTCACCGACAGATCCACATTAAGCCACAGCTGCCACTATTGACTGAAGCAATCTTATAAACAAATTCATAAGCCATGAAAGGAATGCCAGGCTCTACTCCTGCAGGAATATTTGTAAAATAAGGCTCAAGGGACGGGTGGTACCCTGCTCAAGAGCAGGAACCCTGTCTGGCAGGGTCTGAGCTGCTTCCGAAGAACCTCAGATAAAGTGTGGGTTATTGGTTTATCATCTGAGAAAAGGAAAACTGAAGGAAAGGAAAGGAAAGGAAAGGAAAGGAAAGGAAAGGAAAGGAAAGGAAAGGAAAGGAAAGGAAAGGAAAGGAAAGGAAAGGAAAGGAAAGGGGGCAGAGAAGAGAGAGAAAGGAAAGAAGATAATCATTTAATAGTGGAAGATCAATCAACAGGAAACCTGGTTAAGGATTTAGGAAGGATGAAGACCTCTTTTGGATAAAAATGAGCTACTTAAAGGAGGTTGTGCCCCATTATTCCAGGTTCTTTGTGCCATATAGTTTGTTTCATTTAGAACTAAACCGATTAAGCTCTCCATTACACTTGAAATGGCATCTCATCTTCAGGGTTCCAGTGGATCTGAAACCTGTCCATTACAGACTTTAGAACGATGCCTTTTAAGATTTCATGCAAATTGCAACTGTCATGCTATTTTTCATTTTAAGGGTGTCACCTTTTCACTCTGTCAGCAGTTTTGTTTCTGAAATTCTATAGACAAAGGTTTCCTTTGTACTGAGTTAGTCTTGAATGTGAAGCAACTTCTCCCAGACCATATCTTAAACATGCTTTGAGTTTATGTTGAACCATGCTAACGGTTATTGCTTTAGAAAGGAACACAAGAATTAGTTGTTCAGCACCAAAATAGAAATGCTAGACATCAGAAACCCCCCTTATGGTTTTCTAGATAAGTTGGGTCAAAACTGTTAACATTTTGGTTATAACAGAGTAGTCTCTTATCCAGGAATCTCCCCATAACAAATAGGGGGAAATACACAAAGTTTACATAATGGAACAACTATTTTATTTCCTTATAAAACTCTGAAATTTTAATTTCCCTACTGATCTGGCAAAAAGGTCCCATGAGGACTGCATGAAACCTGCTGAGTTTGATGATCAAAGATCTTTCTGGGACTCCTGCTTTTAGGGATCTGTGGACAGCAATTTAACCCTTCTGTTTTCTATCTGCCCAGATGAGATGGAGACCATTCAACATTATATACATTTTAATTATCTTGAGTTTTCTTGATGAAATGTCCTATCCAAATATTATGATCCTTGTTTGCAGTATGTAATGTAGCCAAATTAACAGCCGCTCCGAATGGAAATTAACAAGGCCAGAGCTACTCAAGTTTCTTCTTATCTATTCCCATAGTAACAGCTAATGTATTATAATGTATTATTTATTGGGAAGATTTGATTTGATATCTGAATTTG